GGGGGGGGAAAAAAAACACAACATGCACATAACCATATCAGGTCAAACTGTTCATTATTTAAAACATTTGGCATTAAAAAGCTGAACTTCTTTACTGGCTCAAATAAGTGTAAAGATACATGTGCACTCTCGGTATGGCTGACACATGGGCAGGAATACTAAATTCAAATGAAAAACCTTCTAGCAGTAATTTTTAACTGCTACACTCAAAGGTTTTCCTTAAAAAAAAACCCAAAACAAAACCCAAAGTGAATGAGGTGTGCTGAAAAGATTCAGAGTTCAACTAAAAATACATTTAATTACAGTGCACAATGAGCCGCACACACATTAGCCATGTTTAAAAAACAGTGATGCTTGCCTGACAGGTAATACACAGAAGACACACTCCAAAGACCAGCTCCTTGCCCTAGAGGGAGAAGGCAAGGGGCAGAAAAAGAACACAGTAGCTAAGGGCAAGCAGGAGATTAGCTGAGGATCAAGAGCTACTGAACTGGACTGATGTAGCGTGCAAGATTAAATGAAAAAAGCTGAGGTGTCAAATTTCTACTGCATATAAAAAACCACAGTAAAACCAACAACTATTGCAATCTTCACATTATATAGTGCAATCTCAGATGTCAATAACAAGCTAGTATCTCCAAACAAAATAATATATAAGGTAAAATAAATTTTATCAGGAACTAGTAGTGTCAAAGCATTATTTCCCTACAAAACTAGGTTAAAATCTATCTTCCACCAGGTAAACACGTGATTCAGCTATATAATGTGTACACCCAGCACCTATGATAATATGCAGTGAACCCAGACTTGCAACTCCCATGTAGCTTTACAAAAAAAAAAAAATATTCAAAAACCACAAAGCTCACATACAAGACACTAAAAAGCAAGTCCCCACTGGGGAATATAATCTATCCACTAGTATTTGCCTCATTACACAATTTTAATTATTTAAGGTCATCCAGTACTTGATTTCCACATCTAATTCTTCTTTAATCCACTTATTAAAATCATCTATTTTTCCTCTTCCTATTAAACACATTACTCGTGGTTCAATCAAGTTTAGACTATTCTGGCTGATTTTAGTATTTTGGAGAAGGGAAGGGAAAGGGGGTGTGGGGGGGAAGACAAAATCCTAACCAGGTGCTGCCAGCAGTTATTCAAGACCTAGTTGGATTTTGTTACAGATTTAAGTTACTATTCAAGTTCAAACATTCAGGAAAAGTTATTTGCAGAATACCTTGAAAGTTAAAATTGCAGTTGATACTGCAAACACGCTGGGATCTCAAGAATAACTCACCATTACAAAGCAAGTCTATTTCAATTTTTACTGAATTTACAGAGTTTTAGATCCAAGTGCACAGATAATCAATTATTTATTAGAAACTTTAAGCATATTGCTTTGAAAGCAGCTCCATAATCTACTGAGTATGCTAACTCATGCACTTTTAGTCACCTTTTACTTGGTCATTCAGTACTTAATATATAAGGTTTGCGAGTGGTATAGAAGTCTGGAAAAGCTATAGTGGTTTTATGTCAGATTTCTTTAAAAGACAATTCCACAAAATTAGTTATAAATTTGAAATGACCATGCTTTTGCGTGGGAAAATATCCAGCTATTCCTGAACACTTACATTAACTGATGGATAACTGATTTTAGTTTATCTTTTCTCTTAAAAGCAAAACAACAACAACAAAAGCCAACAATGCATCACGTCAAAACCAGAAGAAAACCTTCTGTTGTACTACTGTCCGTAAAAGCTACAAGGAAAAACAAAGATTTATCTGGGACAATGCTATATAGCCCTCCACCTCTCCTCACATGGTAAGTCTTAGGGGTTTGTTATCTAGGCATACAGCTGCGACTTACCCACAGAATACATGGGCTTAATAGTCTTACGTCTGCAAAGTTTATGATCACCTGTACAGCTATTAAATAATAGATTCTAATTTAAAATAAAGGGGTACTAGCTTAGTTTTCCTCTTCTAGCTTTAAAATAATTAGCTCTTCCACACGTCATAAAACATGGTCAACAGAAATATAATCATGTAACAATATAAAAAGTGCCAAGGTCAGAAGAGTAAAAAGAGCTTTTTTTTTTTTCCCTAGCATCTACGAATGGAATGATTTCAGTTCATGACCAAAAGCCAGAATTTCATTTCTTACTGTAATACTTTATAACAAATGCAAACAAGAGTTTCTAATCACTAGGTGTTTCAGTCTCTGCTGGACCTCTAATCAGTCTTCGTATTCCCCTCTTCCCCGCAGGACCCTTTGGTTTAGCAAAACTTTGTTTGTGAGCGTGTTGTTTTGGATGAACCTCTTCATAAAGAAAGTCAGCAGTTAACTCATCACCATTATCTATTTCAATCTGGGGAATGAGCCAGCAATGTGCACTCGCAGCCCAGAAGGCCAATCGTATCCTGGGCTGTAGAAATTTTGCTGAAGCTCTAAATACTGTATTAAAATCATACACGCAATAAAGTTCAGGGTCTAGCATGAAATGTTCTCCAACTTGTAGCTAATGCCCTCAGCAACCTTGGATAGTTTTTCTGAGAATCCGCTATACTCTTACCAGTATTAAGTGTGATTTGACTTAATTATTTTTCCTGAAATATAAGCAGAACTACACAGTACATATGCCAAGAAACTTCCTCTGTCCCAAGCTTTAGCATAGTGTACATGGAAACAGACTCTTTAGTAGGGCCTGTTGCAGTAAGACAAGGGGTTATGGTTTTAAACTAAAAGAGGGTAGATTCAGACTAGATATAAGGAAGAAATTTTTACGCTGAGGGTGGTGAAACACTGGCACAGGTTGCCCAGAGAGGTGGTGGATGCCCCATCCCTGGAAACATTCCAGGTCAGGTTGGAGGGGGCTCTGAGCAACCTGATCTAGTTAAAGATGTCCCTGCCCACGGCAGGGGGGTTGGACTAGGTGACCTTTAAAGGTCCCTTCCAACCCAAACTATTCTATGATTCTATGATTCTAATACTAACTAGGAGTACACATTCCATGCGGAAACAAGTGCTTATTTACTCCTCTGTAAAGTAACTTCCTTAATAAAAGATAAGAAAGCAGCACACGATCTTTCAGAACTACAATTTCCTTTCTTTATGCTCCCCTCTAAAATAGAAACTTTTCATTGTCCCAACATAATCTACACATTTTAAGAATGAAAATATTTCACTAGAAGGTGCTTTAAACACTAATTGTAAAAGCAATGTGCGTACATGTTGTTGTCTCTTGAGATAGAAGGGGAGGAGTACAAACAGCTTATATGGTTAGCTGGCTACTGCAACTCATCTAGTATTGAAGCCAGGGAAAAGCTAAAAGAAATTGAATGAACAAAAGGGGAGGTTGTTTTGGTTTTTAACATTTAAGCACATAAACCTGAATGGGAAGAAAGGACTGTTCTCAAGCCAAACCCCACTGTTTTGAATTGCAGGAATTTAGAATTCAGAGAAATGCTTTGGCCCTGCTCTGCGGAACATTCAGCACTTCATGGCCTGCCAACCATAGTACTTGAGGGACTTGCCAGCCACAGTATCGCTGTTACAAGTACATGCTTCAGAAATAGGTCTACGGGAATTAGGAGTCACATTGTGCATTTATTTCGTTGTAGAAAGGAAATTTCTGAGAAATAATTACATATAAAAACACATAGTGATAATCTACTTAAGTCATCTCACCACAGTAGAAACGGTTAGTATTAACTCTGCTATTTTTTAGGTAGACATAATCCCCACAGAAACAAAGACTCAAAGTTCTTCTAAATTTACAGCACAAGTGTTAAGAATGTAATCATAGGTCACATATTCCACAAACGGTCTCTGCTCTGGAGGTGAGAAGCAACCTACTCTTTATGCACAGCAGTAAAATCTATACAACGTGAAAAGATCAGGTTACTTGCAAATCTTTGTTTGCCCTATCAAGGACTCCTAAGATAGCAGTTTAAGTTCCAGAACTGCAGCTTGAAATTATTTTGAAAATCCTTAAATAACCTTGGCTTTAAAGGAATTTAGTGTTCAACAGGAGCAATGTGTTGTGGTCCAAAGTATGACAGGCCTTTTAGTAAGAAATCATGTTACTTCTAAATATTCCTTCAAAGTACTCTCAAATACTCCCTTGATGCACAAGGATATGTTTATTAAAGCTATGGAAGTGTAGAAATTATGAACCAGAGAAAAGCTTTCATGACTTAACTTTGTATCTGAAGCTTTATCAACAAGTATTTCTTGTTCAGGACAAACTTTAACAGTTATACAACTCTCTTCATTGTTTACAGAAGGTGGTGGCAGAGACGGTTACAGTTAAATATTAAGAAGGGAACAGAGGATGGAGAAAATACCAGTATACCCAGTGTACTTACCTTTCTAATTATCTGCATCCACAACTGTCTTTCTACAATTTCTAACAGTGGACTTTTGCAACTAGAGTAGAGCATTCGTTCTCGTATACTACAGGTATACCCTGGCATAGAGTAGATGAAAACTGCAGAAAAAACCACACAAATCAGACCATAACTACACTCCATCAAAACCTGTATCATAAAATCATTTACAGCAGAGAGGCACTGCAAATCAACTATGCAGTCTGAAAGGGAAAAATGCAACACCATTCTGGATCTTTTTTGCTTCAGCAAGTGTTTCATTTCAACTGGGGGATCAGAGAATGGCCAGTATCTTTTTGTTTTCACATGACGACTGGTTTATGGGTGTTCATAATCAAAAGGGATAGCTCACTACTTTCTCAACATAACGACTCTCCCGAAGTCAGTTTCACAACCAAATGACTCTGAAATTTATGCTCATGCTGATAGACAGATTACTTTTATGACACATCTTTCTCTCTGCCTCAAAATTACTAAAGTACTTGAAACAAGCCAATGACATTTCATATTGGGAAATTTTCTCATACCTATGGATTCCAAATAGTCTCCTTCATGGGCATGTTTATACAGGAAAAAGTGGTAACGTGCAGCATCCTTTGGAATTCTTTTTGGCAAGTCCTTAAGTTCAGTATGAAGTGTGTTGGCCAAAATAATAGTTTCATTTTTCATATCAATTTGCTGTTAACAAAGCAAACCTGAATATAGTTAATACACAGAAAACAAACCAGAGAACATGACAGGATGGAAAAAAAATTGAATTAATCTCATACAGAATGGCAATTTATCAGTGTACGTCATCAATGCACATTGTTTAATGTGAGGGTAATCTATTTTATACTCACTATTAAAAAACAGTTAAAGTATTTTATACTTGCCAGTTGTACGTAATTCAGTTTCTTATTTTTCAATTTCTCCAAAGCCTGAATAGCTTCTTTAGCAATGGGGAATGCTACTCCTTGCAAAGTTTGATGTTTGGTATCTACGCCAACGTCCGTCTGTACCTGGAACACAAGTCAATTGAGATGTAAACAGAAACCTTTGCAAGCGTTCGTTTGGTTTCATGCAATAACTGACAATGCATTGCATATGGTTACACACAGAATTACCAGTAGCTATTCCGAGAATAAACTACCCTAAAACATCATCCCCATATACAGCAGATTTGCGTTTTTTAATTTGCAGGTCATGTTTGCTTGCTTACATGAAAACAGTTTCATATCTCTAAAACAGCGAGCTTTGCAGAGCCAACAGAATCATCAGAGGGAAAACTGGCTCAAGTATCAGTGAAGAAGCTCTAAGTTAAACTCTGATATAAAGATACAACAAGCCAGGAGGAAAGAGCTTGATTTTCATATGCTGTGTATACTTTTGAACTGACAATATTGCTTATAAACTTTGTTGTATCTTGAAAAATTTCAGATCAAAACATACAAATGGCATTTCTAGGGAGTCAAAATTTTCGGAGTGAGAGAGAGAAATTGTATCTTACGAGACAAACTGATCTTCTTGAAGGAAAAGCAAAGCAACCTCTATCCTTCCTGCTTTAATACCCTCCCCCCAGAAGCCTATACCAAAAAGAAAGCAAACCAAACAAACAAAATCTTAATTTTTGACTTCTAGAAGGTCTAACACAAAGTAAAAAAATCCAGGGTAACTGCAGGCTAGACAATTGTTCATAATCCAGTTATGTTAGTCACAAATTATTTGAGAGAAAACAACAGTTACTTTAAAGCCATTTTTCAGGAATTTATGTTTATCTTAACACTCATGCAGTTTCCCTCAAAATGAGCTCTGGCCTCCAATTTTGCCAAGTCTGAACTTACTGTCTAAGTATTAGCTTTTGAAAAAAATTTCTTCCTTATATCTAGTCTGAATCTACGCTCTTTTACTTTAAAACCATCACCCCTTGTGCTATTGCTACAGGCCCTACTAAAAAGTCTGCCGCCATCTTTCTTACAAGCCCCCTTTAAGTACTGAAAGGCCGCAAGGAGCCTTCTCTTCTCCAGGCTGAACAACCCCAACTCTCTCAGCCTTTCCTCATAGGAGAGGTGTTCCATCCCTCTGATCATTTTTGTGGCCCTCCTCTGGACCCGCTCCAACAGGTCCGTGTCTTTCCTGTGCTGAGGGCTCCAGAGCTGGACGCAGTACTCCAGGTGGGGTCTCACCAGAGCACAGATACGGTTGGCTTTATCAAAGGGAAGGGGAAACTGAGGAATGACTTAATGACTTTTCTCTGCCTTCCCCACACAATCTGTAGGGATATCAGAATAAACTAGTAGATAGCAGGCAGTGGTTCTTTACATAGTACTTTGTCAAGCTGTGGAATACACTGCCATAGGATCTGTGGCCAACAAAAACTTTATGTGGCTTTAGAAAAACGACAAGACTAGATGATGGATGAAAAACCCATTAAGAACAATTACATAGTAAGACATCATCTCTTGCTCAGGAAGATCCCTACCTGCAAACGTTGAGTATTCAAAGGAAGTTGAATATTGAGTATTCAAACAAAAGAGTATTCAAAGGAATTATCATGGCCACCTTGCCCTGCTCTTACACCCTTCCTAGATTTCTGCTGTTGTTCACTCAGGGACTTGACGGCAGACTAGGTGATCCTTTGATCTGACCCAGTGAAATATTTCTTAGAGTAATTATGAAAGAATATACATATGGAAAACTCAATTTATTTTTTTTTTTAATCAGAAAGCTTTCAGTTTTCTGAGTCTAATTACAGGCTTCATAATGGTGGAAACAATGAGGAGAAATGACATGTTAATGTATTGCAAGATTCTTCAAACAAAGCCAAAATGGCAGCAATCAGCCGTTTATGTATCTCTGAAAAGCACTGCTATTGCTGCTGAAGTTTCATAATAGCACATAAGGTTTTAGTCTGCATGAATCAGCTGTTAAACACATATAGTACATAAGAGATAATACTAATACCAGAAGTGATCATCGATACCACAGAAGTTTTACATTCATTAGCGTTTGGTTTTTTTAAGCTGTTCAAGTAAAATGCAGTTTTTGATGATGATGAGTGCATTTCTATATTGGATTAATCAAAATCAGACATGGAAAATAACAAAAGACACCACTAAAGAAGAAAAAGTCAATAAACAACAAAGTTGCAGCGGAAGCGTGGTAGAGTGAAAACATTAGAGAAGACACAGAGCTGCATTTAACACCATGGTTTGCTGGCATCCAGCTGCAGAAACAAACCATATTTCAAACACATGTACCATGGCTGTAAAATACAAGCCTAAAGAGCTAGTAAGATCAGCACATGACCTATTTTAATACATGTCTGAACACGAACAGTGATCAAGTGAAGGAAAAATGTGAGAAAAGAATCCTCTGAATCTTTTCAGTCACTAGCTGGCTGGCAATCATCGTATTTGGTTAAAAGCATTTGTTAGAGGTTTTTCTATAAAGCATTTGTAGCAAAAGCAAATCAGTCTCTTAAAAGGACTAGCTACTTGTTTTGGATTTCTATTTTATCTTTATTGGAATTCCATTCACTTCCTCTCAGTCTTAAAGACAAATGCACCAGTACTGGAAGCTAAGTACGTTTCCTCTAGGGATAAGGCTGCTGAAATACTCCTGGCAATAATTCCCTGCAACAGTTGCTATTTTGTGTTTTCTCTACAATTTGTGCCACCATGGGAAGTGTATGTAGGCAACCACAGATGGTTGAGGTTGGAAGGTACCTCCGGAGGTCATCTGGTCCAAGCCTCCTGCTCAGGCAGGGCCACCTAGAGGCAGTTGCCCAGGACCATGCCCAGGTGGCTTTTGAATATCTCCACGATGGAGACTCCACAACCTCTCTGGGAAACCTGTGCCAGTGCTCGGCCACCCTTCACAATGAAGCATATCCAGTGATATTAAAAGCATGTTAAGGGCCAAAGTTGCAACAATTAAGCTCTGCAGTTGCAAGGCGTCTGTCTCAGACACTAGGCCTTGCAAACTCAGCAAGATCATGCCACTTCAACTCTAGCCATCATCATCCTGCAATCTCAACTCATTGAGAGATAAATTTATATCCTCCTCCACCCAAACTTTCTGAAACTGTCCATTTTCTATTCTGCCCTTTTTTACCCTAGAAAGGCTTTTTCCCTACAGTATGTTTGGAACTCTGCACCGTTTCCCACCCATGGTTGAAGACATTGTAGATACCTCATTAATCTTAATTTGTCGAAGTTCCTCTTCTGCTGCAGTCAGAGGCGCAGGGGAGGACTGTGATATCAAATACTTTTTATATCCATTCAGTGAAACGTCATCCTGAAAGCACAATATCAATATTGATCATTTTTGATAATAAAAGTTTTCTTCAAAGATGCTCTATGCAGCATAAAAAGACCAGTTACTTCCCATACAGTTATGGTCATTTTATTTGAATGGATTACAAGTGTAGGTGCATTTGCAAATTCAGCTCTTCTTCCTGTACAGCAGGCTCCACTGGGCTGCTCTTGTACCCAATAGTACCGTGAGCAGCATTGCCACAATCAGTCCCTAATTACCTTGCTAATTCAAAAATTAGCATTAATGAAGACTGTGTGCCTGAAGTTCTTCAGCCTTCTTGGACAAAACCTCACAGAATTGCCACAATTCTAATAAATTTTTTTTTTTAAATCTATTTTCTTATAAAATTTGCATGCTCAGACTGGTAGCTTATTGGTAGTTTTCTACCTAAAAAATGGGAGACAGAAATGCTACCTTAGGACAGGGAGTGAGCACATGATACTGCAAATAGTTTAGGATGCAACATCACAGAAGTGATGAATTCTGATAACCACTTTGGGGAATTCATTAATACTCAGTGTCAGCTCTGGCCCTTTCCAAAGAGGTTGATACCAGGGGCAAACACTGTTGTGTTTTTACAATTCACTCAGAAAAGGGCAGGACTTTATGTAATCATATGAATGTGATTTTATACTCAAGCTCTGAGGAGAAAGAGAAAGCTCTGTCTTAGCTCTTCCCGTTCTGAAAGAGACAGACCTTCCCAAATACAATTTCCAGTGCCAATATTCCATTGTGTCTTGTTTCAGAGGTATCGAAGTTAATACATGTGAAGTAGCAGGTGGGAACATAACCAGGTTCCACCAGGATAACAGCTGGTTGCAACTAAACCATCCTCGTGTCTAACAAAATAAAGACAGAGTAACCCACTGGATGCTGACGATCAAGATTCTGAGTGAGGTTTGCAACTTGAATACTTTGAAGAAGCTGTGATTTTCACACAGATGAACATTAGAGGCCAGCTACAATTAAGAATCTTATAAAGACACTAAAACCAACAATTTAGAGATATATTAAGCTGTAACATAATGAACTTGGAAAAAGTGAGTTACATTGACTTCCTCCTCTAAATGCCCCAAACACAGTAATAGACAAATGCAATGCTCCTTCCTTACAATTGAGATGGAAGCTCAGACTTGTGTTTACCCCTACAACTCAGAGCCCAAATTCTACATATTACATAGACTGCTAATGGTTTGGTGCAAGTGGCGGTGAGAGATTAGTTGATTGAACGGGCAAGAAAAAAATAACATGTCCTCTACCAGTAAATCCTCTCAGCAACTTGGTTATCTACTTCTCTAGAATACAGCCTCTCCAGAGAGGTTTCTTAGTGTGTTTGTTAGGATAATGAAGCCTCCATCACAGGTTAATGCTGATTATAACAAATTATTTACTTGGTGAGCCGCAGAATTATTAGCCTTATGTCCTTATGGACTTTTCTGTCCACTACAACAACCCACATCTCTTCCACAGTTTTTTCCTCACTACAGTATCCTCTATTCTTTCCCAAATCTCCAACTCCTTCCCTTCCTTCAGCACCAGCTCCCTGTGGCAATAGCAGCGGTGCTTTGCTTCAGATTTGTGCATACGATGAACTAATTAACAGGCCAAACAGAAAATAACTGCTGCACTCTTCCTGTCTTTGCTGAAGGAGGAAAAAGGGAATGATAATTCAGATCTCTAAGTAATCATCAGTTTTCATGAAAGCTATGAGTATTCTGTATCTTTGAGAACTCTAACTCGTATTTCTTTAAAACTGGCAATGGATTAAAAAGTCAAGACTGTCTGATGTCTGCCTGACAAACAGGCTGACATCACAACCACGTAAGACTTTCTCAAAGAAACCAAGGTAACACAAGAGCCTCATATTTCCTTACATGCACAGCACTTACAGGCTTTTCAACATCCCTTAGAAGCTTGTTAGATTTCATACATGCACCTTCCAATTATCTTACCATAAGCGAACAGTCAACTATTAGTATTTTCATTGAACAAATTAGTGGCTACTAAAATTCTGTTTCCATAAGTTAAGGTGGCAGCCATGGACTTCAGTTACATTTTATGGTCAAATTCTAAAGAACTGACAGCTAAATATCCTTGGTTTAAGATAAAAACATTTGTTTAAGATGTTAACAGCTTGCAGATAGCTGTTCTAGCCCACTTCTGATTCAGAACCATACATCCAAAATGGCTTGTGTATACAATTGGCCTGAAAGTTACAGTGTTACAGCTTTTTGAGGATTCACGTGCATGCAGTGAAATTAAGAGATGCTCATATTATTCCTAGATTATTTAATTTTCATAGCCATTTGAAGCAAGCACTTCTTAGTCTGAAATTGTTAAATATACTTAGTTACTTGTTCAAATGAGAGCAATTATATTTTAACATTGGAATAATACACATAGCTTTTAACTCTTTTTTTGTTTAATCAAAAAAGAGCAGAAACACCACAAATTCATACCAGTAACATCAGCTACTATATTTAGTAAAGTCAGTGTGCTGACTTTAAAAAGAAAAACATACCTGTACCGTTCCAAATACTTCATCCTTAATATGACCACCTCCAAATTCTTTCTTAAGTGTTGCTCGGGTTGCTGCATACAACATTTTTTGACGAACCTAGCATATCATAAAACAGTGTTGTTTTGGTTTATTGCTTTTTTTTTTCCTCTTCGGTGTACACCGAGAATCTAGCACATTGGTGTACCACGTCCATTAACAAACATCTTTCTTGAACAAATATTTTAAGTGTTGGAACTGCATTTTGAAGTTGTAATTCTTAATAAAGAATAAACTCCATGGAATGAGCTCTGGATGACGATACTAACATGCTATTAAATTCTCAAGGGCATGTACTATGTGTTATTATCAAAGTAATTCCAAAACTAAATTGCAGCTTTAGTAAGAGCATGAGCTTTTTTTTAAATGGAAAAAAAATGTCAACATAATCTTTACTAATTTTAAATGGGAAAAAACACAATTGTTTAGATCTTTTGTCACCGGTCTGTGTACTAATGGATACAACAGATAGAGAAAGAGCAGACTGGAAATAACTCATTGTTATTTTTGATTTGATAGCGACTCCAGATAGTTTTGGTTCAACTACAGAGTGAAAAAATGAAATTTTCGGGGGGCAGAAGATCTAATGATATTTGCTCCCTATCAACTTGTGTCTAACATAGTCACTTATTCCTCTCTCAACAGTCCCATCTTCCCACCTTATTTCACCATCATGCCATCCTCATCATAATGGGTTGACAGTTGGACTCAATGATCTTGGAGGTCTTTTCCAACCTTAATGATTCTATGATTCTATAATACCTCACCTTTTGCAGCTAATCTCTTCTATGCACTCCAACTCTTAGTCTCTTACTATTTCCTAACTGCTAGTGAAAGTAGTAGGAATATGGGAATAGCTTTACTTTCTGTCTTCCCTTATCTCACATTCCCAGAACCTGTACACAGTATCCTAGTTTCTCCTAGAAATCCTTAACTCTAACCTCAGTTCCCTCCAATGTTCTCTAACTACTGACTAAGAAACAGTATATTCTGTGGCAGGTCACAGATCCACGAGTGCCAGCTGGGCAGCTAGCAAGCCAAACAGAATAAACAGCTTGAGCTCACGCTATAATCCTTCTCTCTATGGTAACACCCGTTGAGATTTCTGTCCTATATCCCTCCATGAATTTTCATGAAATACCGACAGAAAGATAGACAAACAAACAGGGCAAAAACGTTGTCTTGTCTCCTCCAGTCAGGCTAGAAATAAATTGGATCAGCTACACTCCATCTATACCCACTGATATTGCTCCTCAATCAACTTCAAGAAAGATGTTTTCCCAGTTTTCTTGGGGGAAAGTGAGGGGAAGGTTGGGGAATGCTTCATTCCTCAAATCCTCTTCCTTCATATCTAGGATTCAGATCAAACGGAACTGTTGAAAAATCGTTAACAGCATGAAGCCTCTGATGACTGTTACTTACAGGAGAGTGATCAGGTGACCATGCAATGAAGATCCATTCATATCCTTGAGCATTCTGAGAATCTAATCTGTATAATATATAACATGGTTGCTTGTCTTCAAGAAGAGGAAGGACAAAGGCATCATAATCCTTTTCCCATGATCCAGCTGGCCGCCTAGAGGATCCCACAATAAGCTGCTCTATAACCAATAACCAAAGCTACAGGTTAGCGATAATGCAGTTAATACTGTTTTTCAAAATTAGCAATTACAATAAACAGTTAATCAAATTATGTCCATAATTATGTCCACAAGAATGGAAGCCAAGAACAGTCAGTGTGAAAGTGGGTGAATTCCTACAAAAACTGTGTATGTTCAAACCCTAACTTACTTTAACCCAAATACAAATAGTTGAGAAGTCACGTGCTGGTTGTTGTCAAGTTCTTTGATCTGAAGGGATAAGACTGATGTTAGTGTTTTTAGCATAATGTACACAGAAGGGAAATAAAAACTGCCTTCTGCCAGTTAGTTTATTTTTAAATTGGAATACTTAAATAGAAACAAGATGAGAGTAAGCTTTTAAATTTTGGAATTAGAATTATTGATGCTCTTGCTAGAACATATTAGTATTTGTACTCATTGTAAGGAGTCAGTAACTCGGTTATATAGTGAAAAGAGTTTGGAATGAATATGCTGCACTAATCACTTTAACTTGACTATGTAAGTAGATAAACCTCTTTCTAATACAGCTTTATAACTATGGTCTCTTTAAATGATTGAAGTTGTTTATTATGTATAATTGGCTTAAGTCTGTATAGAATACTTCAGATGAGATTCAATTATGTGAACAGCTGTAGCAACAAGATTTTTCTCTTATTTATAAATTACATACATCTCAGCTTCCAGAGGAAAGTATTAGTACAGTGTCTTTCAAAACATTTATCAGCTTCCCAATAAATAGTAGCCCCGACAACCAAAACAGAAATACCTTGTTTAAATGGGATCCTACAACAGTTTGAGGACCATCATAGTAGCTAGTATACAAAATATCTTTTGAGAGTCTAGGACCTAGCTTCTAAAACTTCAGACAAAAGTACAACAGTAAACAAATGCCTCTACAGCAAAACTTTCATAGCAAGGTACTCTACCACAGCAAGTCACAGAACAGGAACAGCTCAGGGAGACGGTGTTTCGCCCTTCTCCGAGTTAGATGCAAAGTAGCTGAAGTTGTACACCTAGACCAGAGTATTCGGAATGTACTTGCCAGTTCTGAACTCTAGGTGGCTTTATACTCACTTGGATTTAAGATCGAAAAATACAATCAGAGGAACTCTATGGCCCAGCAGCAAACCTCTTTTCTTGCTAACTCAGATTAGCAGAACTCAATTTGACTATTATCTGTTGACTAAGGACGGTTGCGGAAAGCTCTGGCAGATGAGGCAATTGTCCCTCTTCCAGTATTCTGGGAGTTTGAGAGTTTTATTTTTGAACTGTGGAAAACAGTATTGAAGACTGGATTCTGCTTCTATATACAGACAAAATGCATATATATACACACACAAACACATACACACACACACAAAAAAGGGAATGTCTTCCATTTGTATCTTATTTCTAGGCTTCGTTTCATATTAAAAAGTAGCATACACACAAAAGCATATTGTTTTACTTTGCCTAATGGGGAAAAAAAAAAATTCAATGGTATGCCAGCATTTGCTACCTTGTGCTAGTGAGACTTTACCACAGTGACATGCCCATAATATTATTATTGCCACTTCCTTAAGGAAAGCAATATTAAAATGTCAGAAGACTTCCTAAGAAAAGCAAACACAAAGAAGGTAACAGTAGGTTATTTACCTAACAATAAGAGTATGTATGTGTATGTACATGTACACATATGTACCTTTCTCCAGCTAACAGGTATTTCAGTGTACTGTAAATGAATGAACTCTAGAAAGAACAAAAATCCCAAGGGGGGCATTTGACATACTTGAAAAGACGGACTAAACCATGAAGTGTCTTATACAGTCAACCAGCATTGCTATTAAAAAGAAAAAACAACTATGCATTGTATCTTGCAATGTTTGCAGCCTTGATCACTTGCCAAGAAGTTCAAAGATCAAACTCAAGTTCTGCAAGAAATTATCTAATATATTTATACATATACGTGACATTTAAGGAACAGTTTTAGCTTTGAAAATTTGTACAAAGTTACAGATTTTAAAAGATATTTTCTATGTAGCCAGATTACTACTTCAACATCTGCTTTAATAGGACTTTCTAAACGCAGCTGATCGCAGTATAAAAGGCAGATAACATTTATACTTCATCTAAAGTGACTTGCTGCTGTGTAAGAATCTCTCTGTCTAATGAGAGTAACCAAAGTGCCAAACCACTACACAGCTGTAGAATTTTTTTTCCTCTACTCTTTCTTCAGTAAGATAGGAGCAAGCTTATTTATATTATCCATATGAAATACACAGCAGTTCTTGGTAAAATATGAAATTACATTTGGAAGAAAAATTCAAATGCAAAAATAAAGTAGCATCACCAAAGCTTAAATCTTACTTTCTGTATATGAAAGACCTTAGTAACATTAAGTTTTGCAGAGTTTTGTTTTTTAAACAATTGTACATGTAGGTCACTAAAACAACTAGGAAAATATCTAAAACACTCAGAGAAAAAAATTAAAATTTGACTAACCATTGTCAATGACTATTTTTAAAAGCCTGTATTGTCCATTTCTGGCTCCAACAAAGGTGTCTTTAACACTTCCACTAGCTGAAAAAGAGAAAATAAAAGTAACCAAATTAACATATTTCACCTCCCTAGGACAAAGAATATTCACGAAGGTAAGAACAACACTGGAAAAGTGTACAACTGGCCCTTCACTACAAAGTTGGACTGAAAAAGGAACACGGGAATGATGTTCCTTCTATACTGCATACTGTTCCAGCTACCAGCATGCCACAAAAAGATGACAGGCAACACTACAAAACAGCCCTGCTTTCCAGCATACCGTATGATTTTCAACATTGTGAAAATTAAAGGTGACATCACATCATCACTCTCAGGTTTCAGAGTTCACACAGCAACACAATAAAAATACGACGCATCTCAAATTACAATAGCTTCATGAAGTCTGCAGGCTTAGTACAAACTTTCAGACAGAAACTTTACACCTGCCAGGAAAATGTTAGAGCTTTCTAACAGTTAGAAAGCTGTTAGACTGGCAGAAGTGCCAGTCTTTCCTGAGGACACCTCTCTGAAGAGTACCAAAGGCTGCCACCCATTGCTCATCTTTCATATCACCTTATCCCTTATCAGTCTGGCAGAAGTGCCAGTCTTTCCTGAGGACACCTCTCTGAAGAGTACCAGTGAAGGCTGCCACCCATTGCTCATCTTTCATATCACCTTATCTCCTTGCAGGTGTCTTGATGACATTGTTCAAACTCTGACCTATTGCCACAGGATAGCTTTATAACAAATTGACAAAGAAGTAACTAAAAATATTTTTAAGTGTCTGTAATTCACATTGTCATTACACCGCAAACATGATAGACTCACTTCCCTAAGCACACTGAAGAACTGTGCTTGAGTGCAAATCAGTTTAATTATACCGTAGACAGGGCGTTGTATAGCATTTATTGAAGAACATTTATTGCAAGCTGGTCCTTCAAGTAATCCCACAGCATACAGCATAGCACCAGCAAAACAAACATCGAGCCAGGAAACAAATAAGAAGGATTATTTATAGTCAGGTTGAGGCCAACTGAACAGATGGTCAGATGGTATCCAGCAACATTACTGCCCATACTCAAAACATTTTAAAGTTATGCCCATCAAAGTGATGTCCAGGCCCATTCTGAAATTCCAAAATGGTGTGGGAAGGGAAGGGGGTGTTAAACAAACTAAACTGCATCGGATTACAAGTCCAACCCCAGCTTCATCCCAGTTAGCATCTTCCCACTAACCAGTGCAGACCCTCACCGTAATTTGCTGCCAGCTTTTCTAACTGTCTCTGCCGATCCTCACCATTCCATTCAGCACACAAACACTGCGCCACTTTCTAGACCTTCCGGTTCCCCCGGGACTTTTTTTTGTCCTCTACTTGCCTATTATCTTTTTGTTCTTTATTCTCTCATTTCAACCCTACACACCAAAATAAGACCAAAATACAGCAGTCCCTGCACCAACACCAGAGCTGTGATAGCTCCTGAAGTAACATTTTGAGACAAGACGTTTGAGAAACAATCTCACTATCAAGTGATCTATGGGGGTTTTTTATAAGGGTTTTAAAATTCACAACAGTGACACTATTTTCTACTTAAACTTTTTGCATAGCAGAAACCTACAGAATTAAAATTTGTGGTTATTTCACAAATATTTTACAGGGAATATTATTTAAAGATTATTTAGAAGACTGTGAACATATTCTAGTGTATTTTCCCACAGCTCCATGCATTCTGTGACTTCCTACGCTATTTATCTGCACTGGCCTGTTTCTAAGTCCAGCCCTTTTAGCAGCTGCCTGGTACATTTCACTGTCCCCATGACTTCATTTCTGTTTCCAGAAAAGAGCAGCTCATGCTGTCAAATCTTGCAATTGTTTATGAGTGACAGTAGCCTGTTTGTAGCTAAAGCCAGCAATGGCACAACAAGTGCCATTCCTCTTCCAAATTGCAGAGGCGGATGCTTTGCTGCAAACAGGACCCCTGATTAGTGCCTGCCAAGGCAGGACCCGTACAGGAAAGCTGCCGAGTTCTCTACAGCTCTCCTCAGAGGACAAAAGATTCTTAAAGACATGAAGGAGAGCAGCAGAAGAGGCTTAGCCACTCTTCTTGCTTGTGGTAAGCAACAGGATATTCTTCTGCTCCTCCCTCCAGCACTGCCAGGGGAGAGAACAAGGGAATGAAGAGCCACTATAACAGTTTTCCCCAGCCTGGAAAAAAAGCTCTAGCACCTCTAGCCTGAGAAGAGTTGAAGAACTTAAAGCAAGAAGCAGCAAGAAAGAGCAAAGATTGGCGTGCAGGGGAAGGAAAAGAAGAGAGGCGAAAGGGTGCAGACCAAATGCAACGAATGGACAAAAAGGGAATAGAAGAGCAGTTAAGAGCTGCCGTGGCTGGGACAAAAGTCACCTTCAACAATAAATATGGGAGAGCAGGCAAAGTACATGGTACTAGTCACCAAACAAGCAGATTGCAGAAATCGAGACAGTAAAACCCGACCCCCCCCATAATCCTGCAGTATAATCCCTGTTTAGCAACTGTGTGATTTGCAGAAATAGACAGTAAAACCCGACCCCCCCCATAATCCTGCAGTATAATCCCTGTTTAGCAACTGTGTGATTCGGGGCGGGGGGGGCGGGGGGGGGCAATGCTGAGAAACAATACGCTGTCTTCTTCTACTTCCCTCCAAGGCCTGGAAACATGGGGGGAAAAAGGTTCCCCCACACTTTTCCCCTTTGTGGCCTCCAGTGATGGGCTTTTTACTGGGCTTCCCTATTCCGGGGCTCCCGCTTCTCCTCCGGGCTCCCGCTCCAACGGACGCG